GGTCCTTTCCAACCATGATGATTCTATGATAGTACACTGTAGTAATAAAGTCCCCTAATGGTAAACAAGAGCCTCAAGCACTGAGGACACATGAATCCTCTCCTGCTATTGGACCAGAGGCAGGGTTCAGTTTCCAAAGAACATGAGGTGCTCCATTTTAAGACACTGTAGGAATAGTAGAGAGAAATATAACAGCCTGTGGTTTGTAGATCAGGCAAGAAGATCTAGAGGTTTCCCTTGCCTAAAATACACATAAATCTTTTTATGCCCTATGATCCTTAGAATGCTCTCTCTGTTAGGGTGAATACTTGCTTAAAATAATAATGCATGGAATCACAGAATGGTTTGTGTTGGAAGGCACCTTAAAGATCGCCTCCTTCCCACACACCTGCCATGTACCTCTATATACAATATGTACAGCCACCAACACTGTTCCAGATGACTCTTGGCCTTGTTTTCCTGGAGGTGATCTAGCAACTGGGCTGAGTTCATTAAGCAGTTTGGTAAGGGACGAGATTCTCAAAAGCCACTTGCCCCTTGACTGACAGGCTGGTAGCGTATCACTGTAGTAAGAGCCTACAGTGCACTAGAAGTATCCCAGGAGGGTAACCTAACCGTGCACCTTCTTTCAAGCCACGGCGTTATTTCTATAAACAGCAGATGACATTAGATACACTGGGGAGGTCCCAGCATGGTGGAACAGGAAGAAAGGAGTGGACCAAAGGAAAATGGAAGAAGTAATCCCAGTTTTTTGGATGTTGTAATCTTAATTACATCTCATTATCTGCCTTTGACAGGGAGAAAGAGTTTGGCATCATCTTTCAGTAGCTGCAGAATTAATTTTCTCTGTGCATGTTCTGTTTTTAAGGTAAGCATGGAATTGCAGGTACTGCTCCTTCCTATGTGTCCATGTGTCCTCCAGGTAACCCAGCTGGAGGTGTATTTTGTGCAAGCATGTGGAGAATATAGAAACAGAGGGAAGTGTCAATAGTCTTCATCTCTTTTGTGATTTTTGAAGACCTACAGTTTCAGGCACATAGAGATGATTATGGCCTGAGGGACAACTATCACAGGGATCTTGGCCAGTTCCTGGAACACTGAAGTGGACACATTTTCCAGATTTTATTTGGTGTCAAAGGCAAACTTTCAGACAAATAAGAGAAACTGTGTAGGAAGTTCTGGTTTTGGCCAGCAAAAGATGCTGTTAACATTGAAATACCGTGCCTCACAGCTACTGTGAAAAGGGAAGCTCTTCAGCATATGAGAAGAATGGTTGAAGTAGTTAATCTTAGCTTCTGTCCTGAATTGCCACATATTTTTGAGAGGTGTTTGCTTATTTTCTGAGACCCTAAAATTGGCATTTGTCACTACAAGCCATGCTCCAAAGTGCTTGCAAGGTAACACACATCCCACACTGTAGTAGCCTGAATTACACACTTCTATTCTGTGCTGTGTGTTACTAAGCTGCAGTGCAGACCTGTAGTAACTTCTGCGTTCAGTTGTGGGATATCCGCGTGGCAGCAGTCACAGTTTAACGTGGTTTCCAATACAGAAGCACTCCCAGCTCAAGGAAATCTCACTGCTAGGGTCATGAGTCAGCACGTGCCACGTCTTTTAATGCTCCATGGAGCATCTGCTCTCACGTCATTCAACTAATCCATGAAATAGAAAGGCTTGTGACCAGCCACAGGAGCAAGTTGTTTGGTTTTCTTTTTTGGCTAAGAACACAGAGGATAAGGGAGGTCCTCCCATTGAGTCATGAGGTTCAGAATGGACCCCCTTTATAAGATCAGGTTGTGTGGTTATATCCATCTATCTCTCTATAGCAATACTTAATCAATAAGGCTTATAATCTGTACAGTGATTTAGATAAGGATTCAGCAAAGTGATTGAAGCCAATCACACATACATAAACAAATATATATATATAGGTATAGTGGTTAACCTATGCTTAAGATGTTTCCCTTTCTGCAGATTATAGTAAATTTTGGTACCAAATGATGTTTATAATTTTATGAAATCCAATTATAGTGAGTTAGTCATGTCTCCTTTCATCAGCTTATTACATGTGGATAGTGTTCCTTTCCATCAGCCTTTGCGAGCAGACAGAGTCTGGCCTGAGAGGTGTCCTGACTCAAGGGGAGTTTCCAAAACACATCCCACTGAGATCCTGGAGAGCTCCACTAGAGATCAGTATTTATAGTCACAAGATGATTGACTTCGGTCGGTACTTTTTCACTGTGGCTGCAATTCTTGTCAGAGAATCTTGGCACTCTTCAAAGTGGGCTGTGATCCAGGTAGAAGGGGTTATGCTCAGGACGAGCAGGTACTGGATTGCTTCCGCTCACCTCCTCGTGATTCAAGATCAGCAAGTACCAAGCTGGCCCAGCCCACTCCATTTTGTAATGAAAACAAGACCACAGTGGCTGGTGCCAGCATCACCGTGCAGCCCAAAAAGGGAGTGTGTGTCTGCTCAGCTCATGGCATTTTACATTCACACTGTTAGGCCAAGCACCTTGGAAATGAGAATGTGAAAGATAAGACAAAGTTTAGTGTTTTCTCTGTTTTCTCCCTTATGTAAGGAAACTAATGTAAAATATAGAACAACTGAAAAACTGTGTATCTATATTATATAAAAATACCTGTAACTTTATCAATGTTAAATTAGTACTGAGAGACAATTTTCCAGCCACTTGCAAGAGGAAAGGATATTAATGGCTCATTAGGCAGTGCTTTCCTACAGGGTAGTGTGCTGAGTGTGTATTTAGTTAGTGAATTGCAATGCAGTTTTCCAGTTTATAATGGATTATCACATTTAAATCTCATCAATATAATATGTAGATGAAGAATGCTGCTGAAACGTCCGCAGTAGCTGTGCCTTAAAGAGCCATCAGCTCACCCCCTTCCACGTCGTCAGCAAGCACCGTAAGAGGAAAATTGGTTCTGAGCAATAAAAGCAGAATTACTGTTGAGCTGTAGAGGTTTGGCTGTTCTAATCTACAAACCAGAGCACTTTGACAGCAGTTGCTTAAAGACTGTGTTGCTGTACACTCGGCTGATAACTACAAAAATAACAGGTACTATTTATTTTATTTCAAATAAAACACAAGGAATTGTTAACACTTTTCCCATAATAGAAATAGATTGAAATCCAGAGCATGGCAGTATTTCTGATTAATGGATGCTCCTCACTGTGGTATACATATTGTTTGGATGATTGTAACTTTGGCCAGAAGCATAGTAAGGCAGAACACATTAACAGGTTCCCGTTATGCAATGAGGGAGAAAGTGAATTCAGGACCTGCAGCTGTGCAGAGCTGAGGAGCTGGACAAATGATGGTAATTCTTGGTTTTGTGGAGATAATCTCGAAAGCACAATGGCAGAAAAAATGTTCAAGTACACTTTGTTTCTAGAACTGTTTCCATAAAGTACATCACATTTTTCTTAGAGTGGTAATTCTGTAACAACTAATAACTCTTTGGGGTGTTTTTTAGAACATTGATATATAAACACATATTCCACACAATCATGATTCAAAAACAATAAAACAATTTGCATTCTGTTCTGCTGGGAAGTTGCCAAATGATAAACTTTTTCCTTTAAAGTTGCAAAACAAACCAGTTTAGAAGTAGGCCTTATCCATGAGATTCCAGCAGAAGGAAATGGCAAAGGCAACACTGGCATAAGTCAGAAAGTCTATGCAAGAGGATGGTCCAATGATTGAGAGTTAAAAGCTGTCTAAAGCTTTATTCCGAGCACAAGATTTGTTTGTTAAGTCTTTCAAAAGGAGGAAACTGCTGATATTACAATCCAGTCGTGTATACTCCTAAGGAAAATCACAGATTCATTACTTTTATTTCTGGAAATGCCAATTATGAATCCAGAATAATGCAGGTTAGGAGTAGTGTCCTTGGATGCTTCCAGTGAGATCTGCAGAGGGAATCGCCTTTTTGTAGAAGAATAAGGGTCACTGCCAGGTATCACTTTTGACAACTGGTTAATAGACAAGAAAGGGTAAAAAAAAAAAAGTAAGAATATATCTGCAGTTTAAATTCATGTGTAGATGAACATATCCAGCATGTTGAATTATCAATGAAGTTGTAAAAGCTATTTTAAAGGTCATATTGAAGAAATTGAGCTAACCAGATCATTCAAACAGTAGCAAGAGAAATAACCAGTGAACATCAAAGAATCAATAAAATGTGTTCGCTCCTCCACCCCGTAATGATGGACCCTCTTCCCCATAATAATGATTAATTTAGTAGACCTCCACTGGGTGATTTGGGAGTTTCTTACAAAGAATAACACTTTAAAATCACATATGATGTGTTTTTAAAAATACATTGGCCTCAAATACTACAGGAATTCATTAGGCGTAATAAATAAAAAACCTACCACAAGCCAGATAACTGACCTTTGTAAGAAAATACTTAGTCAAAAAGTTTATTCATAAGATTTTCATACTTCCTTCTTGTCATGAACATGGAGTCCAAACATTCCCATGAACATCAGGCCAAACCATTGCAGCATATCAGAACAGCAGTTGTCTTGGGGGGGGGGGGGATGAAATCTGACCACCTACAGAACTTTAGTCTGCCTAAGTAGTTAAAATATTTTAATTAGGTGTGAACAAAAGGTTCTTCAGTTTTGGTTCTTCGAAAATTTTCATTACTCTGCATAGGAGAGACCAATAAGGCTTTTCTTTGCAGAAAAATATTCTAACCTTACTCTTGTTTGAGGTTTGGGTTTTTTTAAAAATAGCAGCTTGACAATTTATGCAAATCACACTGTGACCTGACATGGGCTAAACAGTCATCATACACATTTCTTTATTTTCCATGGTACCATTTGTCTGCTCAAGTTCTCACTGACATCTGTGACAAAACTCTCAACTCAAGATACAACACCACATTTCGATAACACAAAGATCTGTCAAACTGTAGTGTAGGATATCTCAGTTAAAACAACAATCAAAATAACCAAACAACACAAACGTATTTCTGAATTTAATTTTTATTTTCTGGTATATAATTAATATGATTTCTTGATCTCGGTTTCTAACTAAATATTACAATTTAGAAAAAGTTTTCTGCATCTTAAAAAATCAGCTATTCTCAGGCTTCCTCGGCAGAAACGTTCTGAATAATTAAATGCTTTTAAGCTGCTGTTGGTTTGTTTGTTCTCCATTAAATATTTACAGTTTCACTTTCATGGCTTCTTCAGGCCAGCTGTAGGAGTCAGCCGCAAAGCTGCTGTAGTCGGTGCTGTACATCTGCGAGCGGATGAAGGCTTCTAGGTCCTTGGGCTGAGGATAGGTGGAGGCCATGTTATTCCTGTAGGCCTCTTCTGCGATCTAGAAAGATGCATTAAAATCCTAAATGGTGCTGATAAGCTATTTGAGCACATTTAGCAGGATTTAAGAGTAGGAGTTTGTTCAAAATCAAGATAAGACTTTATCTTCTCTGGTGCTGAGTCACCTCTATGCACACTGGATCTGGTCTAGAATACTGCAATTAAAACCAGGAGCAGGATGATGTTTGCATTTAAGTGAGTCTGACTCCTGCTTCTTTTGAACAGGATTATGTGTCTTTGCTGTTAAAAATAAAGAGTTCCTCCTCGCCAGCAATATCTTAACTTTTGTTGTGCAGTGGTGGATAAAATACTGCACAAACCCCAAGCACTGAGATACAATTTCTGCCTTCCCATCATTAGGTTACCCTGGGCTAGCAGCTCCTTCAAAGCACTGTAAGAAAAAGTGTGAGTTGTTCAAAGCCTCTGTGTTCCCTGCATATAAGAGAAGTTTGTTATTTGCCAGAGTTTGATAATGGATTTCTTAAAGGTAAACTCAAGGGAAAAATTAGCCTTACACAGTGCACAGGTTCAATTCTAGGAATGCTTAGGGGAAAGAAGAATATTGCTTGCTTTTTCCTCACCCAAACCATACCTAAGCGAATCAATTATGCATCACAAGTGTAGCTGCAACAAAAATGAAGTTTAGAAGGGCCTGGAGCCCACTCAGCACATCAAAGCAGCCTCACATCTGAAGAACACCTACCTGGGAAATGTGTATCTTTTGACTGGACATTCATCTATGAAACAAAACAAGTTTGACAGCCTGGTTTTGCACAGCAGCAATCTTTGGAAAGATCTGCTTCAAACTGTACTTGCCAAACGGCAAAACACTCCTACTCTGAATAAAAAGCAAGACACTCTCCTTCCTGCCCTCCTCAGCTCTCCCTTTAACACATAAATGCTTTAGCTCGGTGAGAAGCTGAGACCCCAAGTTACCACATTTAGACCTCTTTCATAGGAGTCATTTGAAGCCCAATGTGATTTGACTGAGAAGCACTTTAGGCAATTATGTAAGAGTTCATCTTCAGGTCTGTGTGTGTAATTATCACGGTTGAATAGGGTCTGAATTTATATCCCACGTTTGGTAATCCAAAAAATGTTTATCCTACTCCTCCCCTGGAAAAGGCAAAGGCTATCACTACACCTCTTGGCTGTGTGAGCCAGAACAGGTATCTGCAGGAATAAAATTTCAACAGATCAGGCAGAAAGAATAGCTTGGTAACATTTTTCTTCTTTGTATTTTATATAACACAGACGAGTTAGAATTTCACTGTGTTTCTGCCGAACACACAGGCAATTTGATTTTGCCTGAGGAATCTAGGTAACATTTTGACATCTAGAGAACTGAGTTATTACTTGCTTAAGAAGATGTGAACCATGGGAAGGATTTTTTTAAAAATATACAGAATAAGTGAGGCTAGGGGAACTGCTTCATGCATGAGGGCTCCTTGTTATGCTTACAAAAGAATATGCAATAAGTGAAATTACTCACAGTAAGGCAACCAAGAGAGAAAACAATGGGAACAAAAAAAAAGTAAAAAACCAACCTCCTAAAATGCTGGGGGGGAAAAAGCCTAAAAAAAAGAATAAGGGAGGAACTGGGACAAATATTTGAAATTAATTTTTTAATTTCACAAATACTCTGGATAAGCAATGGGCAATCGTGAAGGGCCAAAAGCCTTCAGCTGTGCAGCTCGCAAGACTGTAAGCCTGGGGACCTGCTCCTCACTGGTGAACAGTACAGGTTGGGCTCTACAGACATAAACACTTGCTATAGTTCCATGTCTTTCCTCCTTGTATTTGGATTACATTCACGGCTGTGAATTTAAATTTAATTTTGAAACTGGCACTTGTCGAAGATTGATTGACATAAACCAAACCACCTTCAACTTGTGTGAAGGTGCATTAGCTAATGAAATCAAATGCTCAGTTATGTAGAGAGCGTGGGAAGAAAAGAAGCCACAGAAGACTGGAGTGACTTACCCTCACAGCAATTTTCAGTGACACATCCTGAATAGTGACTAACGGAGGGTACAGACGACCTTCCTGTAAATTCTCCTCTGAAACTTGCTGAGCTATTACCTAGAAATAAAGCAGACACGTTTAACTTGAAATGCAGATGCAGTGGCAGCTTTATTAGACAGTGATCTAGTCTTAAGCAAAGAAATGTTTCTGCTTTGACAAATTATCTAGGCAGTGTTTTTTATAACCAGCCTTGTCATTAGGTGCAGCTACACAAGAGCTAGAAATTTAGGGAATTGTGCCCTTTTCTCAATGAAGACAATAAGACTTATTCAAGTCTCGAATAAGTCCATGACACACATAAACTAGCAAATAATTTAGTGAGAGATATAAAATCCAACCATCAACTGTAGCTGGGTCAAGGACTTCTAAAGTTAAAGAAGCACCTGTTATTCTGAGAGCTGTCAAGTCATCCTGTGACAAGAACAGAGCTGAAACCCTGAAGTGTAAAATGCTTTGAATGAAATTACTGGTGGCTGAGCAGGTTTGTTGTGTGTCCAGCTCACACTCCTAGCTGGTATGACACCATAAAATTAAGTAGGGTCAACTACAGAACAAAGTAAAACAAAAGTGAGGTTATCCAGGGTCTTTTAAATCTCTGCAGTCACATTTAGAAGTAGAAGGTCTAGTGCTAAATAATTCTTTTTCTGAGACAGTAAAAACAGTGCTGCTAGAAAAAGTCAGTCCATTCCACCTGAAGGTTGCAGCAGCCCCATCATCTCAACTAGACCAAGTAACTACAGAAATTATTTTGCTTTTTGCTCGATTTTTCACCAGAATGACCAAGGGAAACAAGGAGCAATATTCCCATGCACTTCTGAAAGGAGTGTCTCTTTTACAGCCTGAATATTTTTGCTTGGTATTCCTAGCAAGACTGGAGATGTTTTGTTGTTATCCCCAGCAATGAACAGATCAGGAAAGCACAGCAAGCTGGAGTAAGAAGTTTCCATTGATGTTTAGTGCATTAGACTTGCTCCTAGAGTGTATCCTTCCATTTAGTTTCATCCAAAAGGAAACAAGTCCCCCTCTCATCCCAAGACCATGCCACACTATGGACTAACATGGAGTATGTAGGGACACCAGGGAGATGTGCTCCAGAGGACCATTCTGATGCAAACCAGAAAAGTAATGTCGAGGCACCCTTAGTGTTTCCATCAGGAAAAAAAGAATACATTTTTGTGCAATTACAGCTGAGATAACAAAAGGTTAAAACCAAATCACTGACTGACCCAGCAGTGAGGGGATACTACTGCATGGTGTGACCTGTACGGGTACTCTGTGGATGGAAGGAAAATGCTGGTCTGGATAGCATCTGCTGGAGCCATGTGTGACCCATCAAGAGGTTCTGAAAACACCAGGAAACACTGCAAAATGAAACTGATAACACGGCCCAAAGAAAGGCCAGAAGTGCACTTTTGAGGGAACGTACTAGGAAGAGATTTGAAACAAAGCACAAACTGCTTCCTGCAGTTCCTGTTGCATGTGGAAATAAGAGCACATTGCTTGCAGAAAACTAGGACTGTGTCAGAAAAGCTGCCTGGCTACCATTAATACATCCTTTCTGGCAGAAGTAGGTAGATAGAATCATAGAATGGTTTGGGTTGGAAGGGACCTTAAAGATCATCTAATTCCAACGCACCTGCCATGCACAGGGACACCTCCCACTAGACTAGGTTGCTCAAAGACCCATCCGACCTCATTATGAACATCTTCAGTGCTGGGGCATCTACAGCTTCTCTCAGCAACCTGTTCCAGTGATTCACCACTCTCATAGTGAAAAGCTTCTTCCTAATTTTGAATCTAAATCTACTCACTTCCAGTTTAAAACCATTGCCCCTCGTCCTGTCACTACAAATCCTCGCAGAAACTCCCTCCCCACCTTTCTTCTAGGCCCCTTTCTGATAATGGAAAGCTGCAGTGAGGTCTCCCCAGGTCCTTCTCCAGGCTGAACAACCCCAACTCTCTCAGCCTGTCCTCATAGAAGAACTGTTCCAATGCACTGATCATCTTTGTGGCCTCCTCTGGACCCGCTGCAACAGGTTTATATTCTTCTGGCACTGAATTAAAGAGCAAACACTACAGTACCTCCACGTTCAAAAAGAAACAATGTTCTCTTCTGGAATCTACCCAGCATGCTGGTAGGTGTAGTAAATTTTTCCATTCATAGGGGAAATTCTAACAAGAGCAGCAAGACATTATACTCTTGTAGAGTATAATGAGTAAAGGAATATTAAATGTTTATGTTTTAATCTGATATTGAGAAATACAGCAGAAATAAAAACCCACTAGGTGGAGCTAAGACAATGTCAAATCCAGGTTTTGCTTTCTATAATAGAAACTGGGTCATTTAAAAATAATATGCAGCCCTTTGATAAAACAAGATCATAGAATCATTAAGGTCGGAAAAGACCTCTAAGATCATCAAGTTCAGCCCTCACCCAACACTACCATGACCATTAAACCATGTCCCCAAGTGCCACATGTGCTCCCAAAGGTGTAAAGAGAATCTTACAATCTGAGATTTCTGCTCTTAACAGTTTAATGGGGCTCTGCGCAAAAGATGAAATCTCAAGAAATCAACAGCAGTTTGCTGTTAGTGTAATGCACCACTGAAAAAGTAGTTTCGTGAGTAGAGTATTTCTGGTTTGTGATGGGGTTGATAGAAAGCAAGCTACAAAACATTTGGGCAGTACTCAGACTGGGAGAGGTAACAAGCTAACTATATAGATGCCACTCTATTCCTTCTGACATACTTCTGTAACAGCATTAAAAACTATGCAAAAACCACAAAACCAAGTATTTTCAAAGCCAATGACACCTTTTTCATATGGTCTCTGGAAAATGCTTGTTAAGAATGTCAGTTCAGTGGCAGGGGAAAAAATGATGAATCAACATGTGAAATTATTCAGAAAATAAGAGGTGAAAATGTAATATCTCTGTATAAATGCACAAGGTAACAGCGCTTTGAACAGTGTGCATTATTGTTCTACCTACTTTAAACAAGAATGAGATATAATCATGAAGAGTATAAAGAATAACACGGATGATCAAAAGATTATTTTTTGTAAAAGGAGACAAAAATTAATAAAATAGACTTGGGGAAAAAAAATGTGAAGACTGAAAGAAAATAGAAAAGACAACAAAAAACAACTGAAGGAGTACGTTCTTCATGGCACTACAGGAAGGAACAGCAGGAAATCATAAGAGGATAGTTTCTTTTTCCACGGAACTCATAATTAAATAGTGACACTAATTGCCACATTGACACAAATGAAGTTCAAATGTATAATCATATTTAAAAAGTCATTAGGCTCATTTATGAAGAAGAAATCCATACAGGGATAAAATTTCCAACGCAGGAAT